GTTTAGGGAAAATTACTAGAATCCACAAACTTTCCCTTATATCGTTAAATAGTTGAATACATATACGTGCGTGTTGTTTTCCCAGCACAGGACTAGACAAATGAGAATACAAAATGTTCCCTCTTTAAGGATCCTCCTTCAATTTTATAAGATTCAGAATCCTACTTATTTCATACACTGAGTGTTTTTTTTATTGAAAGTCTACTTATTATGAGCTTTTACACACATAAGTTCATTTAATACTACCAAAAACATAACAATGTATTATTATCATTTCAGAGATGAAAAACAGAGGGTAAAAAATACCTCAGGTCAAAGAACTAGGAAGTAGCCAGGCAGAAATTCAAACTGAGCGCTTTGGAACTTCGAAGCTTGCGTTAATCATTACACCTGTCCCCCCAGAACCCCATGACGGTTTTCAAAGTGTGGCCCCTGGGCCATCCCAGCGCCTCTGCTTGGGAGCTTAGGAGAAATGCCAGGACCCCAGAGCTACTGCATGCCACACTCCAGACAGAGGGCAGCAACCCGAGACTGTGCGAGCCTCCGGGGGAGAGGAGAGCTGCCAGTCTTCACTTCTCACACTCAGCTTGATGGTCAGTGGGAAATGATCCCCATTTTGAAATGTCCAGAATTTAGAGTTTATATTATTTTAATGACTACAGATAAATCAAAGACGTGTTAATTCATTTCCTGACTGGCTCACAGCACAACATCTTTCCACCCAAGCCTGACAAAACGCTTAATATGTACCCTGATTACGCTGTGTAAAAATAGCACAGCTGACCCTCCACATGCATGAGTTCCACATCCAGAGAGTCGACAAACCGTGGGCTGAAAATATTTGGGAAATGAAAACTGCGTCTGCACTGAACATGTACCGACTTTGTCTTGTCTTTATTTCCTAAACAACACAATGGACATAGCATTTGCTTGTGTTAGGTAGCTTAAGTATTTAAAGTACACAGGAGGATGTGCAAATACTATGTCAATATGCAAAAGCCACAACATTTTATAAACGGAATTGAGGTCCATCCTTGGATTTGGGATCCTTGAGGGGTCCTGGAACGAAAGCCCTGGCTAATACCCAAGGATGCCTGATGGGCTGCACTCGGAACTGAGCTAAATTCAAAATATACCAAAGGCCCAGAAGTCCACACTGACGCTTCAGAAGCTAAATCAGAAGCCATATTTGGAAGGGGAAAAAAATTCTGAATATGGGCAGTAGGAGCTTGATAAATCTTGGGCTATGCCTCCATCAATGTTTTTATCCTGGGCTCCACTCCAAATTTTTACATCATTTCAACAAACTTGCAACTGCCAAAAATAGAAGTTATAACCTTCATAAATACTGGGTTCTTGAGATCAAATTGCTTTAAGAACACATAGAGAGCAACTGTTTTTGGGCCCCAGGAAAGCTAATTGACACCTAATTATATGTCAGACCCTCTTAGAGTCCCACTACTGGGAAAGACACAAATATGACCCCCCTGCCCCACTCCTGTGCTCTACAACGCCCTACCTGATCCTTCCCTCTTCAAAGCTGTGTCATAGGCAAGCAAACTGTGCCTTCAACTCGTCTTCAATTTAAGCCGTACATGTGCATGTGTATTCAACTTGTTTATCACCAATTGGCCCTTTAAAAAGAGTATATGCAAGCACTACCATAGCCTGATGCACTGGAAGACTGAAGGGTACTCAGCCCAAGCCTGGACGGCAAGAGACTATTAACCTGACTAGAAGTCCTCACTGATCTAATTAAAGCTGTTCAAAGGTGAGGCGAGCTTCGGCACTCAGACACAGGATGTCTTTTCATCTGCCTGGCCACTTAACCAGCACCTTTTGATCCCCACACACACCCAAGGGCTGGCAGCCCTGCCAAGAGCCATCTTACTGGAAGGAATGGACCCGATTTATTTCCCTCCTGCCAAATCACCACTGAATCTCCCTGAGAACCAGACATGCTTCCAAGAAACAAAATTATCACTGCTCTTCTCCCCACCCAGAGTTCGGGGCAGCTGAAATAATCCTACACACCAACCACCTGAAAAGACCTTCTCATTTAAATTCCTATCTCGCATTTTTTAAATCCAGCATTTTCTTCAAACTATCTTACAAAATGTAATCATCGAAGGTTCTCTAACAACACTGCCATTTCTGTACCTAATAGAGGGGTTTTTTTTTTTTTGGTACCGGGGATCAAACTCGGGACCTTGAGCTTGCAAGGCAGACGGTGGCGGCACCACTGAGATAAACCCCCCGGCCCCTAAGAGGTATTTTTTTAATCAGTCCAACAGCTGTTTTCAGATTCCCTCTGTAACAATCAGTAAAAGCAATCCGTCAGTGACAAGCCCCACCAATAAATAACACCTACCATCAGAAGAGCAGGAGAGAGACCAATCTCTTTCTCAAGCACAGCAGTCTGGTAACAGTGCTCTTCTAAAAGAACAGATATATTAAACGAGCAGTCAAGAGAAAAGCTTTCACCTGCCTGGGGGGAATTTTTTTTTTTTTTACCTAAGCATCTATTCATATTTGGTATCAAATGATACTGCTACACATGCCAGTTTATCGCTTCTTCTAAAGAGCCAGTAACCTAAGAAAGCAAAGCACAAGACTAGGCTCAAACAGCTCAGTATGAGGTCACATAAGATTTAAACAAAACACAAGCCAACAAAAAAGAAAAGTTCAAGTATACATAAAAAAGCACCAATAAATTTACATTCAGGTCTGGATTCCAAAACCAGGGAGAAGCAAAAAGCTTTATAGTAGAGGTTATTTATGAAGTTACTAGCCATTGTCTTCACTTTTAAGTTAGCCTGTCCTTTCAAATAATCTCATTTAATAAAACTCCCTGAAATCATTCATTGCTAAGACAGGAACAGTTGCAATGCAGCTGTATCTGTCCCAGTTAAATGTTTATAATGACAATTTTAAAAATCTATTTGAAATCTCCAATAACAGCACCCAATGCACCATCTAGTGGAACTCATGGACATCATAATTAATTTTTTAAAAATAGCAATGCAGGAAACCAGGAAGGGCTGAAGAGATGGCTTAGCTAAGAACACAGGCAAATGCAAAGAGCCAGACTCTTTCCAATTTTTCACACTGCAGGAGGGCTGGGCTCCTCGGAAGGAAGGACTCACTTTCCTTACAAATTAACAGATGATAAACATTTTGTTATGGAAATGAGGTGCCGGTGTTTAGCTCAGAGGTTCCACCGACGGCCTCGCAAGCGCAAGGTCCAGAGTTAGATCCCTGGCACCAAAAAAAAAGAAAGGGAAACTTTTGCTTGAGTCCTAGATTTAAATTGACTGGAGAGTCAGTTAAGGCAAGGCACTAAAGCATCAATAAATGCAGATGCCTTGTATGTTACATGAGAACCTGCTCCATGCTACAGCTGTCTTATCCACAAAGAACTACGTACTTCAAGACAAGAATAATTCAGTAATTCATAAGACATTCCCAGGTCACCCAAAAATAATTTTTTAAAAACCTAATAATTCTCGGGCCGAGAATTTCGCTCAGTGGTTCCAGTGCCTGCCTCGCAAGTGCAAGGTCCAGAGTTCAATCCCAGGTACCAAAACAAACAAACAAACAAACAAACCTAATAATTCTCTAGAGTTCTCTAAGCTTTGACATCATTCCAGGTTACTCCCACATACCGATACTTCTTCGTTTCAGTTACTCTAAGAAATCAGTTATATTTTCTATCAACTGACAGTAAAGATTTCCCTAAAGTCCCAAGTCACCATCAAATGCATCACATTTTTGCATTTGCCTTATGCACATTATTTCATTTCAATTCACAAAACAGCAGTGTACTGAAATCACTGCTAAGCTAGAGATGCAAACATTAGCAAGGTTCTTTAGTATGGAGACCACCACCACCAACAACAAAATTTTTAGAGATTCTCACATACCTCCACCAAGTTTTGTTTTTGTTTTGCCTGTGTGGAAAATTACCTTTGTGAAAATGAAACTATCTTAGCAAATCAGGAGGAAAAAGAATAAGAAAACTAAGAAATACTATTTCTTTAAAAATAAACGTCTCCATTCTTACTCCTGTACATGTGATCGACTCAATACGCACAATAAGCTTGCTCAACGGCAGGGACCTTATCTAGATCTCAGGTTTAAATCTAGGCATAAAGTAAAGCAGAAGGCAAGTCGCTGTGGGAGGATTCCTCTTGTGTCTAGAGCTTTCGGTTCATGCACCCCTGGAGTGGGCATGCACATCCACCTCAGGAGGGGAGGACGGCATAGTGAATTTGACCGTGAGCTCCGAGCCTCTCAGCTGGAGAATGGAAACCCTTCTTCCATTCCTAAAGGGAATGCTGTTTGGTAGAACCCGGGGGTCCCTGGACGGGGAGGAGGCTTTCTGAGAGCTATCACTGGGCCAGTCCTGCTAAGCCTCGGTGACCTTCACCATTCCACGCGCGAACAAACGGCACACCGAGCAGGTGGAAGCACAGGTCCCGGCAATTCTGGGGGCTTTGGGAGTGGGAATCCAGGCAGGTAACGGGTCGCCAGGACCTGCCGGAAGCACAGTGCCCGCGACGGCAGGTGCGCTCCCTAAGCCTGGAGCGCAGAGCCTGCCCGGAGAGGGGCTTCCTTCCCCCTCCTCCTCCTTCTGGTCCTCGTCGCCGCCTTAATCTGACCGCTGGGGTGAAGAGCAGGAAAAGCAGCCCACCCGCGCAGCCCCACTCCCACCTCCCACCGCGGAGGTGACAGCCCGGGCCTGGCGCCCGGCCCGAGCCCTCACGGCCCAGACAAAGGTGGTCACGGCGGGGTCTGCGTGTCCCGCCGCAAGCCACGCGCTCCCGGCTCAGAACCAGAAAATCGGCGAGAAGAGCGAGGGCCCGAGCTCAGCGCCCTCCCAGCGGCGCGGCTCCTTCCCCGAGCCCGCCTCAGCCCGCCTCGCCCGCCCGCCCGGCCGCTCGCCCGCTCCCTCAGCGCCAGGCGCCCGCGGGAGGCTCCGGTGACCCGCGCCCCCTCACCTGCAGCGGCGACCGCGACCGCTGCCGAGCACAATCGGAGCGGGCGAGTTCGGCTCCGCCGCGGGCGGGCGCAGGACGATCGAGCCCCGGGAGCCTGGCCCGTGGCAGTCCAGCAGGAAGGACTCTGCCCCGCCCCCAAGGGGCGGGGACAGATGTGGGGCGGGGCCTGCTCGCCCACCGCCTGCTGATTGGCTGGGGAAGGAGGGAACCGTGCCAAATTTGAAGACAACCTCTCCAATACAACCCTTTCATTGGCCGGTAGGGGAAACCAAAGACGAGTTCTGATTGGTGGCAGCCCCAGCAATCATCTCGAGCTCCGCCCCTACGTGCCTGGCTCCCTTGGCCTTGGCTCCTCAGTGCCAGGTGGCTGCGCAGCTGAGGTGCAGGGCAAACCTCGTTCTGAGTAGAGAGGGCGCGACACCAGCCTCCTCTGCGGATGCGACTTCTCTTATCTCCCGTAGCTCTTTAGTTTTCGCACGAACTGGGCGAAAACACCTGATTTCTAACATGTGGATACAGAGAGGTTACCGCTCCTTGAGGTTCAGAAGGGCGTCGTCGTATGGGAAGAGAAGGCGCGAAACCTTGGCGAGGTGTGGGTGGCTCCCTTTCTGTGCTCCGTGTCCAGTAGGCATTGCTTCCATAATTAGAAAAAGCATTTTTAAAAACAGAAAAATAAGTTAGGTGCAAAGAAAGGTGAAGACAAACTTTGAAGATGTGACGGATTCTTGCACAGTATTAGAAAGTACAGTAAATACATCCAACATCTGTGGGCCATCGAGAAACGTGCCTCGGTACCAGTCTGCCTCAGCACCCTTAAAGAACATCACAAATGAGGTTGTGGCGCCCACATGCCATACACTGCTGACGGAATTGCTATAGGACAATTCCCTGGGAAAGAACTTGGCGTCTGCAATACAACATAAAGCTAGGGGAGAGAGGGAGAGAGGGAGTTCAAGTGATATAAATTGGAAGCTCAGCTAACAGAGGACATTACTTGTAACATTACTTCATGATGTGACACAGACTTTATCATTAAAGATGGGGGAGGAGGGAGTTGAGATAAGGACCAATGACCCATGGTTAAAGTAACCTGCGTTCTCACACCACATACTGCAGGCCTGGTGTCATGGTGGGACCACTCGTAATTCTCTCCAGCCTGCTTCAGCTCCGTTCTGCTGTTCCATTTGTTCTTGCCATTCCTATGATGTCTAAAACAGGAGATGTGAAATGAAGCACTTCCTCCAACTGTATGAGGTAAATAATAGTGAAAAACTGGAGATTGACAGAAATCCATCTGAAGTCAAATGAAAGCTGAGGAAAGGAAACAAATGTTAAAATAAATACAAAAAAAAAAAAAAGAAGCAAGGACAAAAAATCTGATTCAAAGAAATGAAAAAATTCTTTTTTCTCCATTTCCTAAGAAAAAAGTAAAGCTCTCTGAAGGACACTGAAGCCTCATGACCTAACAGAGAAAGAGTTTTACAGAACCTCTGTAATAAATGGAATCATAATAATCTGAAAAATATATGTCCTGGAGTATTACTCTTAAGTACAGAGAGCTAATTTTTTTAATTATCTAAGAAATAAAAACAAGAATTTAGTTTTGTCTAATATGAATAAATAAAACACAATCCAAAAGTTTTTGGACAATAATGCCTGAAGTGCCTCTATTCTTTGGATTAAATAATCATTATATAATGATTAGATAAATCATTTATAAGATGATTCTTTCATTCACTTACTCATCAAACATAATCAGTATTAACTATCTAATACTAAGCACTCCGAGTATATCCTTGAACAAGACAGAGTTGAAGAGTTCTTATCGGAAGACAATAGATAACGAACCAGGAAACATAACCTTGAAGACTGAGATACGAGCAAAGAAGAAAAGGAAACTGACCAAGAAGATGAGGGAGCCTCTGCTTTAAAGAGAAATGCTCTAAGGTTTGAGTTGCCACCAAAGTGAGGAGAGATGAGCTTTCCAACACTTCAAGGCAGAGGAAATGAAGGCAATGGCCCTGAAGTAAGAAGAAAAGCCATGTGCTGGGGACAGGGACAAGACCAGAGCAGGCAGACTGGCCTATACAGGAAATGGAACCAAACAGGGCAGACATGGACCTTGCAGACAACGGTAGGGAGTTTGTCCTTTATACAAAGATCCCTGAAAGGAATAACAGAAAGTTGCTAATGTTGGGGTATTGACCTTTGTTTTGCTTTGCTCTGCTTTCACCTTTTTAGAGTTACCAGAGAAACAGGCATTCATTCATTAAGCAAGTCCACCAGGCATAGATGTATGAAGCAGTCACTACTTGCCGGGAAAAGATTAGGCCTGGGGATGTAACAATGAACAGGACCCATGGTTGACAGTGTTCATCTTATTTGACCAGATTGGGGCACAGTGGAAGCCCTTGGAGTAGTGACTGGCTCTGCTTGTTCCAGCTTTTCCTTCTGCTCCTTGTCGTGGCTCTAACTCTCTTGCTCTTTATCAGTTGCACTGGCAGATGACTGAGCCTGACACTGGCCAGTGACTGGAACTTGCACTTCCTCTCTTGGATGCTTTCAAATGTTCTAAGAGATCTTCCCTTGGAACCTGACTATACTTCTGATGCCGGCCATGCAGTCTTCCCTGGTTGCCACTTCCCCCTTAGTTTCTGGTTCCCTGCAGGCCATGTGTAGATTCTCCTGAAGGGGGAAAGGGAAAATGTTCCTTGGCCTCTTCAGAGATTCCTCTTGGGCAGCATTCCAGCCTAGATCTCTCTAGTGTATGCCTCTCATCCAGTCCTCAAGAAGCACTCACACATACTTTAATCTCCAGAAGGGCAAATATGCATGGGATAAATTGGTTTGCAGCATTCTCTTCCCTCTTGCTTCCCCCTTCAGCCTCTGGAACTGAGACATGTCAGGTCAATGTCAAACATTCCAAATATGTAGCAGAGTATATGAGGCACTTGGCCTTGGGGGTCCTACTGAAGGCTCCCTGCAATGAGATTAGGGACAAGATCTCCAAAGACTGGTTCCTGGACTCAAGTATTACTTTCTTCAAAGAAAACTCCTTCATAGATCCTTTCCTAAACTCTTTTTCTCCTGCCTTTGGTGATTCAATTTTGACTGCAGGTGTTGTGGCTTGTGTGTAGATGTCCCCCCTAAAGCCTCATGCAGTCTTTTTCTAAGGTAGCTAAATCTAGAATGTGCGATGCTAGGATTAAGGGCATGTGATCACTAAACCACTGCACATGAGTGATTGGTGTGGCACCACCCTAATCCTGGTAGTCTGGATAAGATAAAAGGAGCGGAAAGACTCTATTAAGGTCCCATGTTGCTTTTGCTACTTCCACCGCCATGAACTGTTGCCCTTCTGCCACCCTGACTTGGAGCCAGACAATTATGAACTGAAACCTCCATGAACTGTAAGCCAAATAAACCTTTTCCCCTTTGTGGATGTCAGGTATTTTGTCTCAGCAGCAAGAGAAAAGTAACTAACACAGCAGGCTTTTCTTTTCTTTTCTTTCAGTCCCGGGAATTGAACTCAGGACCTTGCACTTGCCAGGCAGCTTCAGTACCACTGAGCTAAATCCCCTAATGGCAGGGTTTTCAAGTGGCTAAATTTTCTTTGCAGATTTGCTTCTTGTTTTAACAACTTACTTTAGAATTTCACATCTATGATCTCCTGCTGCCTCAGTCAAAACCTTACTTACATCTTGTCGTACTAATACAAATCTGTAAAAACGGCTCTTGTTACCAAATACCAAGGACATAAGGCAAAGAAAACTTGTTCTCTACAAGCATACTGTTGGAAACTACTGTTCGAGTATGAATAAGAATGGAACACTGTCCTGCCCATGGGCCTCTTGACCCAGGAAAGCAGCCTTGATTTCCAGCCCAGTTCAAGGGTTTCATTACATCATGTTTATCTTAACTTTAGAATTTGCACAAGAAAAGAAATAGGATCCTGAATTGATCTTTTGGGCCAGACCTCATGTTAATAAAAATATCACTAACTGTTAATAAAATAGTAAAGCCTTGTTTAGCTTTGAGTCTCTCAAAAGACAGTTTCCTTCAAATTTCACCCAAACTCCACCCCTTCCCCAAGCCCTACAAGAACTCTGTCTTTCTCTTTGTTTGATGAGGGTTTCTCGGGCCCTTACAGTGTGCTTTGTAACAAGCTCATAAACCCAGCCGAGTCAGACAGCAGGTTTGTCTCTGGACAGTATCAGTAACAAGCAGATGTGTGGACCACAGGTCACTCCTCCCGGGTTCCGTTTTCAGCTTTCCATCCCCTCTGGCTCAAGTCACACAAGCTCAACACCACCAATGTGCCATCCCTGGACACACCCAGAATCCTGCAACCACAATCACATAACACGCAAAGTACCACAAACGTGTGCATATCCAAGAACAGAAATGTCTGTGGTTTGCAACAAAAAAGGAAACCAGTAATTACCATGTACCATTCATTTGCCAGGGTATTTAAATTCCCCAAAGGACTTTTTCAAATCACAAAAGCCATAAGATACTGACACAGTCCTTCCTACTATTCTGTCCCCCCAGATCCATTCCTGGCTCCACCTTATCACAGTGGAGATCCTGTTAATGAGGGCAGAATAATCTCAGGTATGTTTGGGAAGAGATTAGAGAGTATTCCTCATTAATCTGATAAGCGCCTTATCAGAATTCTTAGTTGCTAAATGTACTCATGAATAAAAATACCCGATCTTGCTTGGAAGTGAAAGAAACTGTCCCCGTGATAGCAGAGGCTTTGTCTGACTTATTCACAGCTTTTATCATGTCACACATGAGAAATGCCCGGTGAACATCTGCTGAACTCTTTCATTTGGAACATATTTGAATGGGAGAGTTTTGATCCCCCAGTTGCACCTGAACAAGAAACATTCACCTGAACTACAATAAAACCTTGGTTTGCCAGTGTAATTCATTCCAGAGACATGCTTCTAATCCAAACCACTTGTATATCAAAGTGAATTTTCCCATAAGAAATATGGAAACTCAGATGATTTGTTCCACAACCCAAAAACAGTCATATAAAAAGATTACAGTACTGTAATATAATACAGAATAATAAAGAAAATACAAAATAAATTAATGTGCACTTACCTTTGAAAACCTTCATGACTGGTAT